TGAGAACCATACAGCCAGTCGTGTTTCTGTGTAAGATCGCTTACTTTTTCATGCTTGATCAGTTTCGCTCTAGATTTGTGCTCAGTCAACAGCAAATATTTTCATACATCCTTTTCATAGTGCACTGAGGTAAAGCAGCTTTCAGAAATAGTTGAGAGGAGATTTCATTTATACAGAGATCTGTGAAAACGTTCACTGCGTACTCTGGATTGTAAGCACACAGCACATCAGCTGTTACATATATTTTGTAACCTCTGGAGAACAAGGTCAAGGAACATTTGACAGACTGCTAAGCATGTATTGATGTTCAGACCATCTGATACCAGACTGTGTACTGACATTCTTCTTCTGTAGTGTCACTGCCTCTAACAGGGTAACCAGAGGTCTGACTGTTACTGCAAGGGTCTGTAAGTCCACCCTTCTACTGCAAGTTGCTTAAACTTATCCCTCGGTGCTCTCTCCTCACAAATCACCCTTTTTGGAACTTCAGTCTCTCTTTTCTCCTACATCAGGCCTTAGCAGAGTTCATTGACAACCCTCTTAGATCCCACCCTAGTGCTAAAATAGGTGCATTCTTTCTTTAGAAGGGTATGGTCAATAGTCCCACAAATGGTCAACTGTCCCTGAAATGCTCAAGCACCTGCCATGAGGAAGACAGTACTTTGACAAACTGGGTGAGGTGAATTGAGAGCTGCTGCAGGAGGGAAGAAGCTGTTGTATAGTGAAAGTCCTGGCTGCAAAATCTGCAGCTCCAGCGTTTTGCCTTCACTAAATCTGCTTTAGTGTCTTTTTGCAGTTTGCTGTATCTCATGAGAGATAGGTGTAGCCTTTGCTTTCCTATCAGCTTGCCACTGAATTGTATAGTCCTTTCTCATTAACTTCTTACTAGTTGTCAGAGAATATGCATCTAAGCTTTACTGCTTGCCTGCATAAGTTGTTCTCAGACACTTAAAAGTTTGACAAGGAAATGCAACAATGCAACCTTTTCATACCTTTCCTTTGCACTTTCAGGTACAATGTGAAGATGCAAAGTTTCTTCACCTTTAAAAGCAAGAATGTTGGAAATGGTGACACAGTCAACAATGAACTAGAAGATGGTAATAAGTGTTATGCCTCTAGATGTGATGACCCGTCCATTCCGTTACTATGCAAAGGTAAGGCTGAGCAGACAGGACTTGGAAAAAGAGTAGTTCACAGGATATCCTTTCTATTTCTTTAATGTGGATCAAAACAGTGTTACTGTTCAGTCATAAGCAGGGATTTTTATTGGGTTAACTTGACAATTTAGCAGACTTCCAGAAGAAAAAAACCCAATCAAAATCTTTTTTTATATTCTGAATACAAAGCTGCTTTGCACATTGGCAATTTTGCTCCCTTTTCATCTCCTGTTCAGTGATGAGCTACAACACTGTGAAAGAAATGTTCTTTTGCCAGGAAGAAGGTAATTTTAACTTCAAAAATTAGTTTGGAACTAGAAGGGTATTGAAGGAAAGGGCATGGGCGGATCAGTGGGCAAGAGGGATTACATGTTGAGTTCAGATCCTCAGAAGACTGGCTTTCACATGCTTAAATAGCTCTGCATAAATTGCCAAGCACATATGTAAAATTGAGAAATGCTGGTTCTTTGCTGTCTGTGTCTTTGTCATAAAGAGGAAGATGATCTTACCCAGCTTCTGGTACTGAAGGTAAGTAAACATACCTGGGTATTTTTGGCTTTTTTGTAAGCCTGTTTTTATTATTGTCTTATTCCTCTCTTCTCTGTAGTGCAAAATAATTTCTACCTTCAAAGCACAAACCAAGTAATTTAGTGGGGTCTTGGGCTTCTCTAAACGATTGAGGTCTCCTTACTTTGCAAACATCTCCTAATCTAGGCGAAGGAGCTCAGCAATGTAGGTAGCAGTTAGAAAGGTCCTCATGTAATAACAAATAGTGGCTAACAGGAATTTAGAGCAGACTTGGAGAATCCCATTCTTTTCTGCTTTTAGTGTTTAGGCTGGGATCTCTCCAAGATAGGTCACTTACTACAAGTTTATGCAATGACAGTACACTGATACTCTGGTCTCAGATATGGTGTTTAGACAATAGTTTATTACAAAAGTAATAATATAGATTTAAAACTACTTCTCGTAGAACTTTGTAGCATAATTAAATGAAGATGTCTTTGAAATACTTTGATCTCATTTTACAATGAATTTTTGTGAACATTGACTATGAAATAGTGGAGTCTGTCACTTGCACATGGAGGTATGTACATACAAGGTTCAGAGGATACCTCCTAGGGCAGTTGCTAATTATGTATTCAAGTGGGGACACAGGAAAAGGATGATGCGGTGAAGGAACAGATATTAGTGAGTTTTACTTCTGAAGCATTTGTTGGGTTCTGATGTCATCTCCCTGCATGCTCTCCTCTCTAGCCACTGTGTAGTAAAGGGATGATAGCACAGAGTGCTTGCCTGTCCACCTGTTTCCTTTTCAGGAAATGAGAAGGTTATTTAATGCTTGTGAATCACATACAGTAATTTTAGGAAAAGGAGCAAGGAAGCTAATAAAAACTTGGACTCAGGAGAATGGTGTCTCCACTAGCAACTGTCCATGGCAGATTTCTTCTCTAATTTCCCTCAAAGAGGCATTGAGACTGCAGTTTCAGTCAGATTTCCTTTGCCTTCTCCAGCATCCATTACACAGATAATGCTATATTGGAAGGACCATTGTTCAAATTTCGAGTGTGTAGATATTATCACATCCCTACATGGGATGAGAGAGGACATGAAGAAGATATTAAGAAGGTGATGGTTTGGAGTGAGCAGTGGGAGAGAAGGATGGCAATGTTAGCCTAACTGCTTTGTAGATGGGTGCTTTATGTGTCAAGAAGCTGTCCTACAAAACCCTCACATGGTGCCTGTTGCATCTCCCTGCTGTTGAGTCAAAATATGCCATGACCTATCAGTGACTTGCTGTTAGTTGGCACGTGGCTGACTTCATAAGCTGAGTTGCACCTTCCCCAGCAGCAGCCTTCAGAAACAGGAGCACTGCTAGTAGCAGGGAGAGGGCTAGAGTTGGCCTCTGCCTTACGTCCATCCACTGGTGAGCAAGTTTCATGGTCCACTGAAAAGCTTCATTTGGCTTCAGCAAGGTGTAGGTCTAACCTTAATCTGATTTTCCACATGAGGAAAGTCTGATTACTTCCCAAAAAAGAAAAGTTGCTTTGGGTGAGGAACTTTCTTCCTACCAAGGATAGTGAGTCTGTTGCTTAAGGTGCAGATAAAAGGGGAGTTTACACGCTGCACAGCTTGCTTTTATGCTTGTAACTTCTATTACTCTCAAGAGCTTCCAGTGTTACAATATAAAAGCTCCATTAACTCAAGTTTCAGAGAGAAAAAAACCAGCTTTTCACCAAAAGATAAATTAAATTTCATGGGCAAGTTCTGCACACACAGGTAAAGGTGAAGTATTTGTACTTTGTGAATAATGGTCCTATTTTAGGAGTACATACTTGTGGCTCGCTGCTCTTGGCTTTTATTATGTTGACCCAAATTTCCACCAGGTGGCATGGTTCGATTCCTGCCTAAAACCAGAAACCCTTGACAAAAGTGGGTTTGTGAACAGTGTGATGCAGATACCCAGAGTTTGTCAGGAGTCAGCTAAAGTCAGCAAGAAGCTTTCTGTTGATTTTGACAGAGTTGTTGATGACCCTTCGTGGTGAGCAGGAAGTTCAGGTAGTTTGTTAAAAGGAAAAACCATTCTCAGAAGGTAATTTTCTAAGGCATATCACAAGGAAGTGAAAAAGGCTTTTCTCTGTCTCACATTTGTGAAAACCACCTTTGCAATTTTTAGGTGGAGCCTGTTTGTACCATATGGGGCCGAGGTATATATGTTTATGGACATAGAGAGTGAGACTGAAAAGCTGTTATGAAAATAGAAGAGCAGTGTGCTGCAGTAAGTAAAAAAAGCTGCAGTTAGTTATATATATGTTTTTAGTGATGTATTCTACATCAATGTTGAGGTTTTTATCATGGTATTTCATCAAAGCTCAGTATGTTTGGTCACTGTCTCCTTACTGCTCTAAGAAACAGTTCCAAAGTAACTGCAGTGCTTTTCCATGTTTTTCATTATACTGTAAGATAATGAAGCACTTTGTAGACTTCACTGGAAAAACTCACTTGAGAGTAGTTATTCTGATGAGACTTTTAAAAAGATATTTGGCCTTTTTGCCTTACCAGAATTAGTCAAACATTTCTTTTTCCTTGTCTAACTAAAGCAAGTCTTAAGCTACTGTGACTGAGTCCTCTTCTGTGAGGACTGGCTCCCTGGTAGCTTGTCTGGCTATATATTCCTTCACAGAAAAGCTGCTACACTGTTAAGAGTCATTGGAATGGATGTGCTCTGTATTTGCATTATCAGCTGCAGTACTCAGCAAGGTTAATTTGTTTTAGATGTCAGGGCAGGGGGAGGATAATTGCTCCTTTATGTTTATCAAATGCAAAATTTACTACTAGTTCTATTCTTCATTAGAGATATTAAGCTGCAAGACAAGACTACAGAGTGGATTCTTTGAGAAGGGCATATTTCTTTGTGAAACCAAACATGGCTTTATGACACCTCAGGTGACCCCAGTGTACTCATTGAAAACTCATTTTAGTGAAACAAAGCAAGACACTCAAATGCTAAAGGCTAAACAATATAACTGTTTACTGGTGATTTACAGGCTTGGTAGGTTTTTCTTGTGGGATTATAATGGAAGGCTATTTTTCTTCAACCTCAAATATGTTAGAAGATGCTTGAGACAGCAAAGCCTTTATTGCATGATGTGATTTATATGCATGCATGGATCCAGTCTTCTTCCTGAAAAACAAAAATATTTCAATGCTGTTAACAATGCAAAAAAATAAAAATATAGATTTCTCTGTGTTTAGAACAGGTCCATTTTAATTCCTGTGTTTGAGTTGAATGTTTTCTTAGATTTCCTTTGCTTCCTGACTGAAACCATGCACTAATAATTATCTTTCACTTCTATCTCCTAAATTCTCTTCCTCTTCTTTATGTAAGTAACTTAATGCAAAAAGGGAGTGGGAGGGTGAAGCCAAACTAAGCAAAGCAGAAAACAAGCAGCAAAGAATTTTGTTGGGTTTTTTTCCTGTACATATTATTACATGTAATAATTAGTATTTATTACAGTTGTATGCATATTTCCTGCCCTGCTTTCTAACACCACATGGGTATGTCTCCTGTCTGCTGAGCCTTGCTCTGCTTGCTATGTGTAGTCTGTAGCATTTGTGAGAATATTGGTTTGTTGTTGAGCTCTGAAAGTCTTTGCCTGTACTTGTGTTGATTTCCAATACAATTTTGTCTCTCTTTGTTCTTAACACAGTTGAACAAAACCCTTAAACTTGGTACAAGTTCTTTTATATTAACATACCTTTGTTCCCGGCAATTGTTGGTTTTCATTGTTTCAAATCTTGTCATGTTAGAGGTATTGATAATACTCTGTGAAGGTAAAGTGAAGATTTCCAAAAGGAGTGAGCACAACATTAGGGACCTCTGGATGTGCAGCACCTTGTCCAGTGGGATGGCTTTAGAGGTTTTGGGAGCTCTGTCTGCACTACTACAGTGCAAATGCATTTAGAGAAGTCTTACAAAACTGTAGTGGGACATAAGCAAAGAAAACTGGTACTACATCATGAATGGCTGGGTAAAAACTGTTCCCAGTCATCTGAGAAGGGGTTGGTGGCTACCGTAGCAGAGTGAAATCCCTTTTCAGTACGTGATCTAAACGAAGTGCACAATTGATGAGCAGATTCATCAGGCTGCAGAAATATGACAGGGAGGTCAGTCATGAATTCAAGTATTCAGATGAATATTCCTCTCCACGTGAACCTGAAAAGAATGACTCTGGGTGATGTGAAGCATTGTAAGATCAATTCCACAGCTAACTCTGTCCATTGTGATCATTAGTGAAGGGGATGCAGCAGTATGGCAAAAACAATGTTGTGATGGTGGATGAGATAATCTGCTCCAGTCCCCCCAAATACCGGTTCCCTGAAGCTGGATTACGGATTATGATTACAAATAAATTTGGACCACGCACCAGAATGCGGATGGCAAGCCGACTCATCATTAACGAGGTAGGTTCATTAAGAAAACAAAGGCTATGGAGGGATTACCACAGAGCCGTGTTCACAGTGATTCTGGAATTCAGATTCTGCCATGTTCCTAGAGATGGGCTGCAGCTATGTCTTTCTCTAGCGGCTGTGTCACAGCAGATTTGATGATGGATTCCCAATTGGTGATGCTGCCTGCCTTAATGGGAGGGCAGTCACCAAGGAGGGACTCCCTTATCTCCCTGCAAGATGTTTGTTTCTGTGTGTGTGTGTGTGTGTATGTACACACATACTTTTATCTGGATTTTATCTGCAGCAGAAGAATTGGTTTTGCTCATTACAAAAGTGGCCAGGCTAAGAAAGGATTATATGGACAGGGCAACCAAAAATCTTTAAGAACTGCTCTTTTATTAGCAGCACATCAGGATCACGCAAATATTTGCCTTCCTTCTTAGTCTTCAGAGTAGTCCTCAGCTCAAAGTTAAAATGGACCAAAATATTTTCACGAGGGGAATTTGCCCTGGACAGTTACATTTAACTCTTACTGCTGTATTGTCACCACCATATATTACTTGTTTCATACCCTGCAGCTGAAGTGACAGGACTGGCCGAGTGACACTGTTCTGAGCTTGTATGAAGTACTTGGGGTGAAATCTTTGGCCTGCCAACCTTGGCTTCTAAAGCCAACCTGAAGGCAGGACTTTATCCTGTACTCCCTACAGTGTCAAATACGAGATGTTTTTACTCAGGCAAATAAACTAATCTCAGTCGTTTAAGAAATACAAGCTTTAGCAAGTTCCTAGAATTTGAAGATCATAACACAGTTCATGTGTCTCCCTAGCATTGCAAATACTCCAGTGAAGGAAAGCAGCACTAATATATTTATAACAAAAGTAAAATTTAACGGCAAAACAGTGAAATGTTTGTTAGGAAGTCAGCTTGGTGGCATACAGTCAAGAGCAGAAAATAAGACAGGGCACACAGCAGCAGTTAACTCCATTAAAGTTCTGCTTTGAAAAAAAAAAAAAATCTTAATGTATAATATGGACAGAGAGCTGATACTTGCTAGTTCAACATCTGCAAAAAACATTCTCTAAACCAGAGCATTTTGGAAAGTATTCAGATATGAGTTTTCTCTATTTTTAATTACAGTGTGTTAATTTTTTTTTTTTTTTTTTTTTTTTGCATGTTGTGCAGTTAGTTTATTTTTCAAGGCATTTCAGAGCACTTTGAGGAAGTTGCAACACTTTGCTAAGAAAAAGACAACACTTACTGACCCTGCATTATCTCATCTAACAAATTAAAAATATTTCTTTTTTTATAAAAGTAGGAAATTACTGTTACATCTCACATTCTCCAGTGTATTAGTGGACATATATACTGACATTTAAAACCTATCCCTGTAATTGTTGTGCTAGGTATTGGAACTGTAGCAGTCTTACACATGTCTGCAGGGGCAATTATGAGCTTTGTGAAAGTAGGTACTTGGTCAGGGGCAACAAAGGTTAGTCTTGCTTTTGAAATAGTAAGTAGGACCTTAACGTTTACTTCAAGGAATGAGAGTGAGAAGGAGGGAGAAGAGTTGGACCTGAGTAGGAGAGATCCTGGGTAATGAGCCTTTCATAAGTCATTCATTCTAATAGTGCAGAGATGCCTTGAGTGTTACCACTGGATTACGGTGCTATTGCTGGTTTGAGCGGGAATCATGCAGTGAGAAGTGCTGCAGAATAACCACGCTCATCAAAACATGGTGCAGAAGAGCAGATATGACAACTTTCTCTGTCATAGCTTGAAAGACTCCTTCCGGTGAGTTTGAGGTGGATAGTCAACACTGGCCTGATGGATTTAACAAAGTCTGTATTTTCCAAACTGTGGCAGTTTTGTCTTTGACACTGTGCAGCGTCAGCGGTTAATCCAGTCTGCCAATGGCTCAAGCAAACCACTTCAGAATGGGAGACATGAGAATATTGAAAATGGAAACATCCCTGTGGTGAACCAAGAGGAGGAAAGTGAACAGGACAATCTGTCTCCCTTTTCACTGCCAGGTAAGGTTTACTTTCCAAGTGTTTATAGTAAGGAAACAGAAAATAATTAAAATTACAAACACGGGGTTGTAAGAAAAGACAACATATGTGGAGAGAGAGGAGGAAAGGGATTGATTTGACTGTCTGAAGGCTGGATTTGATGACAGTAAAACTAGGCTGGAGGCTACATGGCTAAAAGCAGATCTTAGGAAAGTGTTTTCCAGACATCATGCACAATAACAGTGCTGGTTTACCAGAGGCAGAAGGAAAGCAGGTATGGCAGGTTTATATTAAAAAACCCAATGAGCACTGCACTGCTAGTAATTTTGAAGTCAACAGTTAATAATGGCCTGCTGGAGATTGCTAGGCCAGGGACAGCTAGGTGTATAAATATAAAATAACTTGATTTAATGACTGTAGGGGAGGCTTCTTGGATGAAGAGGAAAAAAGGTTTATGGGGAGAGAGAGTGTGTAATATCTTTGACAGTGTTTAAAATTCTTAGAATAGCAGTGTGTAATAATATTCACCTTGTGAAATTTTTTGAAAAATTTTTGGTGTGAATGACTATGTATAAACAACCTTATTATGTTGGTGCCCTTAGCACATAACAGATTGACTCTCCCTCAAAAGCTTTTGAGATTAGACAGCTGAGATTAGATCACCCCTCACAGACGTGCAGTCAGTAGTCATCTGCCACACAGTTACATTTTAACACAAGTATTACTTGACATAAATGAATACCACATGCAGTCAAAAAGAAGGAAGAATTTTCCATGTTGTATATGATTCTAATTTCTTAGAGAACCCGTTGCATCAGTTGCTGTCTTTTTGGAAGAGATATTTGTGACTGAACAAACATGGAAGCATACTATGTGAATACCAGATAAAACCGTATGTTTTCATGTGTTACTGGACTGTGTGCTCTTACAGGAGCTTCTTGTAGTCAGCAGTTATGGACTTTCATCAAAGGTGAAGAATGGAAACAAACTGATTCACTGAAGATAGCCCATTAGCTCCTGATAATCAATAAGATAATGAAAAAACTGTCTTTATTGTGCGGCGAAGTAAGTGGATCCAAGTCAGCAATATGCTTGTGCACATTAACTTGTTGTTAATAATAATAATAATGATAAAATAATAATAATAATAATGACAGTAACAGTAATAAACAACTTCTAAAGAACAAAAATGTCTCCCCAAACCATCTTCAAGATGCAGGATTCAATGCTTGTCGTGACAAAGAAGATATTTTAACTGAGTTGTTTTTAACAAATTTTTGCATTCAAGTTTTAATTAGGGCAGTGCAATCATGCATTTCTTCTTACATTCCAGGACAGTGTAGAAATCTTAACCTGTGGCAAACATTACCTGGAGACCAAATTGTCATACTTGGATTTGTTCAAGACTCGGACAACTTCTTTATAAATAAAAAATAGTTTTTGGAGTAGAGCTTCCTAAGCGCGTGACATTCACAATAGATTAAATGCTTTGAAGTAAGGAGGGAGTTATTAGTTATGCCATTGGCCTTTTCTAAATGCAGTTTTTCTGCATTTTTGAGAAAGTCTTTAAAGATAATTGAGGTGTAACAGGCCAAAGTAAAACCACTGATGATATAGTTCATACTGGAATGGAGCAAAAGTTCAACTTGAACTCAAAGAGTTTGTTTAAAGTGGTAAAGTGATCGTTTAAAATCTTCATCATTATCTTCAGGTTTTGTTACTCCTCTGTTGTCTGGAGATTATTATCTATTGGTTGGATTGTTGTTGCTCAACTCATATATTCTGAGGAAGAATTCTTTTATTTTTGCTTCCAGAAGTATGACTTTAATAACTTTGGAGAAAATGTAAAGAACCAGCATTATGCTTTATTGCTGTTTAAGTACTGTGGCACAATCAGTAGCCTAAAAGAATCCTGACATTTAAAACTGGCTTTAGGGAAGAGGTAGTTTTCAGTTTCCCAGGATCCCCTCCGTTTTTCTTCTGATGTATTTTCAGGCCAAGAGTAAGCCATGTACATTTTCTAAAGATCAGAAGTTCATGTATTCTTTCAGTACTATGAAGAGCTCTATGAAGAATAGACCTTCACTATCCAATAGGACTTTCCATGTCAACTGCTTGCAGTGTGCTAAGTAGAAAATTCACTCCAGTATTTTAAGAGCTGCAACAGAAATGACTACGAATTGGCCCAAACATTTTTTTTTCTGTTGTTGTGTTCACCTTTTTTAGCCTAGTTTGGGGTTTGATTTTCCTCCTTCAAATTGTGTGTTCTAGATCATTTTGCAAGTATAAGTTTTTTCTGAAACAGAAATAAAAGTGAAGTTTAAAGCACTACATCATCTCTGAGTGATTCCCAGTAATCATTTGCCATCTCTGAGTTTTGCCTATTGTTCTCATTTATACTCTGTCAGCAGCAGTGCTCAGCAATACATATAGGGCTTTAGCACACTCAAATAGAGAAAAAAATAGTTACATTGAAACAGTCTCAAACTATAGCATCCAACACAGATCCCATATGTCAGATATCCAGAGAGATTCACCCCCAGGGTATGGTTCAGGCCCATCTTGAAACATGAGGCAGCACGTAGTTTTTATGGAAACTACATACAGTATCATACAAAGCACCCTTTGCCTTTGGTTTCTGTGTGGGAAGAAACATTCTCTTTAAAAGCGGAATTTCTTTCTTGACCTCATCTTTAGGCTATGATGATTATCTTCCAAAATAAAGGCTCATTTGATGCTTTACCATTTGATTACTCTACAGTTGTTTGGAAACAGGTCTTAAACTTTTAAAAAAAACCCCAAATCAGATCAGAATAAAGCAGGCTGAAACTGAGCAGGCATATGTTGACAACAAAATAATGTGTAAAAGCCCTTGCATAGCTCAGTAGTCTTTTAGAGCCCAGACTCAGAAAAGCACTTCTATGCAGCTCTTAATGGATGCTTAAATCCCATTCACTGTCATATGTTTGGGATCCTTTAAAATACTCAGTGTTCTCAGCTCCTGCTGGTATCACAGAAATGAAGAACTCCTTCTCTCACAGGATTGGACCATGGATGCTTTATATAAGTCATGATGGTGTTAGCTAAAATAGGAATAATAATATTTAGAGCTAAAATGAGACAGCAATAAAGGAGATTAGCAGTCCTGCCTATTTTTGTGTGGATCCAAAATATGAAGATGACATGTAGAATAGATGCAAAAGGCAATTAACAGTATCTACTAAAAACATAAAAAAATATTTGCACCTGGTCAAACAAAGTGATTGTCTTGCCCAATATTGTGACTCCAACCATGACTTTATGAAGGAGCCTGGGGAAGAATGAGACAGGACAAGTTGGCCTTCAGCTATTTTCAGCTCAAAGAACTTTCTGGACTGGCTATAATGTTTGAGTATTAAAGAATCCTTAATATATTTCTTCTTCATTAGCCTGTCTAATTATCATTGAATCTTTGCAAACATTTAACACCCACAGCATCCTTTGGGAAGGAGTTTCATGGTTATGTGAAGAACTATCTCATTTTATTTGCTTTGAACTTGGCTCCTACGAGCTTCATCTGATGTCTTTTATTGGAAAACACGGTGAACAAAGCAAACCCCCTGTACTTCACTTGGACACTCAGAATGCTGTTATATCCCCTATGGAGTTGACATCCTCAAGACTGAGCTATAGACAGAAAAGAGTTCCATGTGGAAATCTCTATAGTTTCTGTCTCTGCAAACACTAATGCAGAGTTCTTTTGGTTTTCTGCAATGCCCTCATCTAAAGTGCCCCTTTATATTTTGATCACCAGTGAACCCAGCAGACTTCCTGCTCCTAGTATATTTGAAGTAAGATTTATTGTGAATTTTGATTCCTCTTTGTAGTTGTTCCTCAGCCTCTTTTTGGCCTGCTTTATGGCGCTTTTGTCAAAGTTTGGAAACATGACTTAGGTGGCTGATTTAGGAAGAGAGCTAATTTCCATAGCTTCTCTGATGTTGTAAGAGAAGTTCTTCGAAGAAGGTAGTTCAGAGCAGGGCCTAAGTGTAGCATTCTGAAATGCTTTTTTGGAAGACCTTCCTTTTGCCACTGCTGGTCTAATGGCACATCTGCCTTAGGATTTTATTTCAGAATGCAGCTGTGCTTCTGAGGCATATCTCACTGTACTGCACTTCGATTTGCATCGTGTTCTTGGAGCTTGTGAACTGGACTCCTTTCATAGAAAACTAAACTGGAAAATGTGCTGCAGAAAAGCAATGAGTGTGCTCATTGGAGGAGGATACACAGAATAAATTGGAAGAGAAGTGGACAAGGATTTAGTAACTCATCACTTCACTCTGAAAGGGCAAAGAGGGACTTGAGGAAGTCTGTAAATTGCTATTCTCCCTTAAATAAACATTGATAAAGTAAACAGCAAGGGTAAAACATGCAAAATAAACCGTGCCAAATCCGCCTAAGTCAAACAAGATATGGGGAGTACCTCTGCTCAATTACATTTTAATTTTGTTGAATATTATCCTGTGTAAACCTGTAGCAACTTTGAGGTTAAAGCTTGTTTCTGCATACTGGAGCAAATTCTTTTTTCCAGACCCACTGTACCAAAAATGTGTGTTTAAAAGAAAATTATTGGCACAAATTTGAATATGCAAAATGTGGTAAAGGCACGGGCTGAAAATAGAAATCTGGCTTGTTTTAGTCAGATCTCATGGTCTGCAATTTGGAACTTGTATTCTGGAAAATGGAACTTCCGAGAAAAGTGTTAGTAGTTTGGAAAATAGCCTGTTTTGGATGAGGATGAGAAATAAAACCTCAGTATTTTCCACAGAAAAAAATAATTCTTTCCAAAGCTCTGGTGCAGGAGAATTGCAATAAGAATGTTTTAATATGTCAGCTGCCCACTCGGAAAGCTGACAAAGGTTGGGCCTTCTTGGATACCCTTCTACACATTTCATAGCCTGTTTCTAGTGTGATAACACAGACTCTGGCCTTCACGGTTCCTGGGGAAAGCTGCAGAGCTGAAATCAATAAGGATTTTCCAAGAAGGTGCAGAGGCAGCTGCTGTGTTAATTTTCCTAACAGCAGATTGAAAACCATTTTCTCAGAAATTTTTCATTTTGCAACAAAGACATTTTTCAGTGGAAAAAAATTCTGGTAGAAAATTCACAATGGATCTAGTTTGTTATATCTATTTCAGCTGTTTCTATATTGAGTCCCATACTTGGGACAAAAATTTATATTTCTCTATTGTGGTTTGGCTAGGGCATGTGCTCAGAAATGAATTAGGCATTCAGATTGGCTAATTTACATATATTAAAGTTTTCCAGTCAGGCTCAACTCTGAACAACAGCACTTTCTAGCAGAAATTTACATGTTGTCTGGATGATTACAAAGTGTGGGGGCGTGTATGTTACTGTTACAAATTTTCGGGTTGAGAATTGAATTAATATTGCTAATGATACGTGGGCATAAGTTTATCTTTGTAAATATAAAGCCTAATTAGGACCAGGGGGACAGATTATTTAAAAATCACTTTTCATTGGGGGAAAAACAGTTGGATTTTTTTTTTTATTTTTTTTTTTTCAAAATGAAAATGGTAGAGAGATTTTAAAAAGATAAAAAATAAATTTTAAAATTATAAAATGGAGCACCAGAAAATTGGCAGCAATAATCTTCCTAGGCCAGCCTGGACGTGCCTTATTTTTCTTCTAAGTTTACCATTGTCCAAAGGAAAATCCCAGAAAAATAGATATAAATAGTAAACTCCAGGAAGCCTTTCTCATTTTGCAGAAACTATTAGAGAAAAGCTTTGCCATTTTTCAAGTTGCCTTAAATTAGAGATTTATATGAATTCATAACAATACAGTTATGAAATCCTGTGTGCCAATTAGATTCATGCTTTTCGGGGATGTTATAATTTTTTTAGATCAGTCAGCTACTAATTTGCCCTTTGTAAGGGGATGCTTTTTTCTCATGAGAAAAGGTTTAGTCATGTCCTGAAGTAGCTACTGTGTGGAGTGGTGGTCTGTGCTTGACTGCTACACTTCTAAAGGGAAGACTAAGTGGAAAAGCTATAAAATTTGACTACAGTAACTTAGATCTGACTCCTGATGGTGTAGTTGCAGACTCCAGTCTGTCTACCTCGGCAAAAGTGTTTTCTATGCAGCTCATTGACTGTAGGCTCTCTGCAGTATATACGTTTGAATTTCTGTTTCAGATTAGCTCTAGCTTCGTCCCATGGACTATTACTTGGGGCACTTTTTAGTTTGTGCCTCTGGTTCAGCTTTATACCAAGGGAATCTTGTTGGTGTGATACAGGGCTGCTCTGTATTGCAAACTAAAATACAGTAAATTGCAAACCACAATACAGTAAATGGGGACAATCAGGAGGTTTACTTCAAGGGCACACTCCTGATCTGATTGAAAGCAGAAATGTAGTTTCGTACTTCTCTACTGAGCTCCTCAACTCCGTGTGAATGCTGCAAATAAGACAGTATTTTTCCTGTAGAAAGGCACTTCCTTTAGTACCTTAAGGAAATATCCCTTTCCTCAGTGCTGTAATGTGTGTTGTTGACTTTATTTACCAGGACACTATCTGTTTGTGAAAGTAATTATTGTAAGCATAACATCTGGGAAGATGACAAGCCCAGAAATGAATTGAAAATTACTAAAGGGCTCTTTGTTGTATGGCTGCTGCTTCATTTTCAGAAACATTGTAATCAGACTCTTCTGTAATGATACCTCTCTGAAATACTTGGCATGCTTGGCTTCCAGATATCTGGAGAAACAGAAAGATGGATCCATAAAGTAGGAAAAACAACTTCATGCAAAAAACCTCATCTTTTTCTTTTACAGCAGGGTGAAGTGAACAGAATATAGACCGGTGTTGCTTTCTTTAATAAAGCAATATTCTTTCATTATTGTCATGGGAAGTGCAGCAAACAAAATTCACCTTTCCTCAGCTTTGTGGGTTGTCGCAGGACCCTTCAGACCCAGGGCTCACGAGTGACCAGTACTGCTATTAAAACAACTGAGCTAAGGCCTTGTAATGAGACTGACTGTCTGTTTTTGCAGAGCAGCTATATATTGAACAATAGACTTAGTGAGAATGATAATTTTCTTCCTTGCAGATGTACTCGTGAGCTAAGCAGCAGTCATAAAACAATTTGTCATGAACTAAAAGCATACCTCAATTTAACAAATTTATCACTAAATAATTTTAATTATTCTTTTAGAGTAGGTGGTCAAAACCAAAATAACAGAGCAGCACAAGAAGTCATTTCAAAAGAAATAAACTGACCTAGGCCATGCTGACTTGTTTGACTATGAGCCAAGCTTAGCAACCTGAGTAGACAAAGAGTACAAATTAACTAGCAGTTTTTTGATGATCCAAACTGTAACAAGTTAAACAGGAGGAGGTATAAATTACCATAGGATATTTACAGCATTGTTAACAGAATTAAAGTGAGTTGTGAGATTAAAAGTGTCATTTTCTCAACAGAACAGATAAAAGATAGCTGTTTTAAAAATCTGTATAGCAGTATGTGGTCCCTTCCAATCCCTAACATTCTGTGATTCTGTGATATGTAACCAGAGGGGAAAAGGACATTCCTGTAAAATCTGTAATAGATCCCCAGTGACATGTAAAGTTCTAGGATTAGAATTGACCCTAGGAGACTTCAGTAGTTTTGTGTGTTAGAAGTTCCACAGCCACAAGCTAAATGGGAATAAAGAGCCAAGCTTAGTCTAAGATTTCCTGGTGGGTTGATGGCATATCAGAATTCACAAGGAAATCTCAAGTTAATGAGCTGATATGCAAGACAATTTAGTACTAGAATACAGACTGAAGGAAATGAGTGAAGACTTGTGTTTAGACTCACCAAGTTAATTTAGACCAGTAAGTAGCCTCAGAAATTACAAAAGCATTATTAATTTTTGAATGTTTATTTTTAAATTTCATTGCATCTGGTGCACATTGGTCCAGAGGACAGATTTCAGTCTAATTAAGTTCACTGACAAAAGCTCCCATTAAGCAAGTCCTAAATCCCAGTGTCTTTGCTGAAAGAAAATTCTGGGTGAAATTGATAGGAGCTTTCAGTGGTTTTTACTTGCCCTTTATAATTTAGCTAAATAATTTCACTGGAAGATGTATCTCATAATTTTCTTCAATGCAATCAACAATTTCATTCAAAATGACATATCATTATCAGTTAATGATGGAAATCCTTACTAGCAAAATTCTAAAATAATGTAAAGAAAACCCAAACAAAAACCACCTGGGATCTTCTGGGATCACCTGCTGTGTTGGCTGTGATACTCTGGTTTAGCCTGATGAGCAGATTTGTTATCCTATTTGCAAGATACCTCAGGAAACATATAAATATAAGTGCCCTATTTATTTATGGCCCAATTATAAAATAATTATCTTTTATATATTGAGATTTATGTGCATATTGAAAATACTTTATATTTTTTAAAAATGAAAAGGTGTGTACTTGTCTTCAGTAATGAGAGTTCTCTGGCATTTCTCACCAGATAATTTTGGAGAGCCGTATGAGGGAAGTCATTAACTTCAGTTTCCTTTTATAGAGGATAAGAGATCATCTTAAGGTGGTGCTATACGCAGTTGGAGAGAGTTAACAAGTCTAACAAGTCTAAACTAAGCACCAGTTTAAAGTTCTACCCAGGTGACCACAGTGAGGCATGTGGAACAAGTTTGTTATGTTCATAGGCTGAGTCTGTGCTTCTGTTTTCTGTGAAAGAATTTTCTGTTGCTGCACTGAACATACAGGTTGTTTTCACTACAAGAATTTCCATCGTCCTTTTTAAAAGGTGAGGGGGGTGGGGCTTTTCAGTTGTTTGGTTTTGTTTTTTTAAAAATTTTGGATTAATAGTAATAGAAGTATTTGAAAAAGCAACAAACCTGACAACTAATTTTGGTTTTAAAAGCAGCTATGCTTTTAAATAATTTAAATTTTTTCATGGATTTACATAGACCTTGTCAGGCTGAACAAGGTTCTGGATGTGCACACAGAACTTGGCTGAGAGTGACGAGAGCAAGTACAGATGAAAGGTACACTGGAAAATGAGCTGACGTGTACAGTTGTAAACATCCTTCTGGGATCTCATGGTCTTCAAAGAGGTGTAACTAGACCTGGGATAGTGATGGGAAAGCTAAACTGGTTCTTTCCTTTCTTTGTCCTGCAGATGGAAAAATGAACAAAATTAAATGGGTTTTGACGTGGCCGTTGATATTTGTGCTCTTTTGCACCATTCCGAACTGCAGCAAACCACGGTGGGAGAGGTGTTTTATGGTGACATTCATCTTATCCACCTTCTGGATTGCCTTGTTCTCCTACTTCATGGTGTGGATGGTAAGTGCATGTAGCAGGACTTCCCCTCAAGAGTGAAATGTGTATCTCCAGATAGATAATAGATATTTTGTGTATTTGTTAAAGAAAGGCATGCAGTTGTAATGCAGTCTTCTTCAGCTCATACTCTAATAATTATAATTTTAGCTTTCTACTGCTCTTTTCTACGCAAATAATTGGGCCTTTACTGTATAGGGCTCCATACAATACAGAAGGGTTCCAGCTTGATTTTCAGGAGAATATGGACATCCACAGCCTATTAGTAAAAGGGAGTTTAAATTAAAACATTTGAATCCTGAGTGGCCAGGGATCAGGTTAGGAAAGCCAAGGCCCTGACAGAATTAAATTTGGCCGGAGATGTCAGAGGCAACAAGAAAAGCTTCTACAGGTATGTCGGGGAGAAGAGGAAAACTAGGGAAAATGTGGGCCCTCTCCAGAAGGCAACAGGAGACCTGGTCACCCGGAACATTGAGAAGGCTGAGGTGCTCAGTGACTTTTTTGCCTCAGTCTTCACTGGCAAGGGCTCGTGCCACACTGCCCAAGTCCTAGAAA